AACACAGACACAGGCACACAGAGCAGAGGTAGGGATGAATCTCGGAACTCTGGAGACCTGCAGGAAGAGGCAGGGCGGGGCGCTAACTTTCAGGCACTTTTCAGGCATAGCATAGCGGTAGGGCATTTGCCTTGCACACAGCCAACATGGCCGACCCGAGTTCGATTCCTCCGCCCCTCTCGGAGAGCCCGGCAAGCTACCGAGAGTATCTCGCCCACACGGCAGAGCCTGGCAAGCCACCCGTGATGTATTCGATATGCCAAACACAGTAACAACAAAGTCTCCAATGGAGACGTTACTGGGCCTGCTCGAGCAAATCGATGATCAACGGGAGGGCCTTTACTTTACTTTTACTTTCAGGCACTTTTAGATCTGGGTTCTGTAGCCTGTCCTTGGTGGGTGTTGAACATTCCAGGTGCGGGGCCCAGACACCCCTGTCCCATTCGGGGCCCAAGCACAGGCAGGGAGAGGAAGGGTGCACCCTGGGAGAAGGCCTGGGCGAGGCGGGATTCAGGGAGCAGCACGCTTATCTGAGGGAATCTGCAAGGAGGGATTTCAAAACCTCTTCTTCGCATGGGCTCTGCCCCACTCCTGCCTCCAGCCTTGTTGGCAGTGACTTGCAGAGAGAGATTCCATGCAAATGCAGAATCCGTGAATCCATAGATGGCTCACCGGGGCTGGTGCGGGCTGCAACCGAGTCTTGTCTTAATCGTGATTAAGTGCGGAGTCTTTGCTTTCTTTTTTAATCGATTTCTGTTTTGTTTTGATTTTTTTCCCCCTTTAAATCCAAGGAGAAGCTAGGCAATGTCTCAAGCCTGTAGGAAAAGCTTAAGAGTCTTTCGAACTGGGCTCTGCTCTTTGGGGCTTTAATCAGATTGAAGAGTTTAATCAGATCTGTCTCTTTAAGGCTTTTTTTTTTAATTACCTGGATTTGTTACTTTCTCTTTCTCTTTCTTTGCTTTCTTTATTTTTGTCTGTTTTTTCTTTATCTCTTTCTCTCTTTTCCTTGTCTCTTTTTTCTTTCTCCCTTTCTTTCCTTTCTTTTTTCTTTATATTTCTTTTTCTTTTCTTTCTTTGTCTTTCTTTCTCTCTTCCTTTCTTTCCTTTATCTTTCTTTTTCTCTTTCCTTCTCTCTTTTTCTTTCTCCCTTTCTTCCTTTCTTTCTTTCTTTCCTTTTTTCTCTTTTCCGTATCTCTTTTTCTCTTTTCTTTCTTCCTCCCTCCCACCCTCCCACCCACCCTCTTTCTTTCTTTCTTTCTTTCTTTCTTTCTTTCTTTCTTTCTTTCTTTCTTTCTCTGCATGAGAACAAAACTCAAAAGAGAATAAAAGGCAGGGGTTGCAGTTACGGGCAAAGAAATACAACTGGATCCTAGCCGAGCATTTTAGGCTTTTGTTCCTGACCCTGAAGTGTTCACTAAAGTGAGGAGCTGCACCCCTGAACTCTTGCCTTTTTTTCCCCCTTCTTGTCTGGAAGGGGGACTTTCAGAACTTCAATTCCTTTTTGCCTTTTTTTTTTTTTTGTCTTTGTGAGCAAACAATGTGTTCTTTTCTTCTGACTTGGAGGATGTTTCCTTCATTGAGAGGCCATGGGATTTGGGGAGGGGAGGGCCTGGGTATTTCAAGGGGTTCAAGTGATTCTCATTCTTCAAGCTGGAAGGGAAGCTGCCCGCCCCCCAAGATCCTTAGCGCAGAAGTGACCCTAAAGCCTCACAGGGGGCTAGGGAGGGTGCTGCCTGCCTGGTTTGGGACCCGGGTGGGACGTGGAGGGCGGGGCCGAGGGGGCTGCTTTATCTGGCTTGTTTGTGACCACTTGTTCCGTTTTTGTCTTGGGCCCCGGTTGGTTTAAGCATCTGAAGGTGAGTGGCTAAGGTTTCTTTGAGAGAGAATGAGAGGCCTGTCTTCCTGTGGCGAACACAAAAGGCCCAGTAAGAGTGCTTTTCAGTGACAGGCCCGATCAGCTTACTGCCGCTCAATGCTCGAGTCAGAGCAGCCATTCAGGGTCACAGTCCCCATCTGGGCTGGGTTCTGTCAGGAACAAAGGGGGAAAAAATTACTCCTGAATATGCCCCCGGGGGATTTAAGAAAAATAATGTAGATAGATAGGAAATTTAAACAGTGATGAAAAACAGGTTTAGGGCCAGCGAGACGGGGTAGCAGTGAGATAAAGAAAGCCGTTCGCCTTGCAGGCAGCTGACCTGAGTTCAATTCCCAGTGCCACCCAGGGTCCCCAAGCCTGCCAGGAGGCAGCCCTGAGCACTGCTGGGTGTGGCTTTCCAAACCGAAAAAGAAAAACGGGTTTGAAAGAAAGACTCCATTTGAAATCTGCCGTGGACCAAAAATGATTTGTTGCCCTGAGTCTTCCATGTCAGCTCCTTCCTGCTAAAGGGGGTCTAATTGTGCCCCTTCAGGAAAAAATATATGGAGGCCTAATAAATTCAGGGTATATTTACCTGAAGTTGTGCAGCCTCCCATAAATCACTGCCCGGAAATAGCCCGTCTGCAAACACATTTATGGCTTTTTTTTATATATAGATATAAGATGAGTGTATTAACTTCATTGCTTGACTAGTATCTATAAGAAATGATAATTAATTTGACCCTTATCTGCTCTTGCAGTCTGTGTCTACTGTAAGCATTTTTATTGCCTTTTGAAGATAATGTAATGGTTTCGTATTTGGCAAAGGGATGAAAGGGAAACGAGGGGAATCCAAAAAGAGTTCCTCGCGTCAGCATATTAAACACCGTGAACCTCGTGTCGGTTGGTTTTCAGGGGAAATAGAGCGGCCTTTGGTTCCTGCTGTAATTAGGCGTTCTTTCCTTTCACCCCGGCCTGTGATGGAAATGTTCTGCTCACTTTGAAATAATAGATTCGGCGTGTCGAAACCTAGGAGAAATAGCCTACTGGTTTTTGTTGGCTTTTTTTTTTTTAGCTTTTTGGTAACCCCAGCAATGCACAGGGGTTCTTCCTGGCTCTGCACTCGGGAATTACTCCTGGAGGTGCTTGGGGGACCATATGGGATGCTGGGAATCGAACCTAGGTTGACCGCATGCAAGGCAAACACTCAACCTGCAGTGCTATCGCTCCCGCCCCAGAATTAGCCTTGTTTCCAGAGCTCCCTTCTCCCACCCCGTGCCCCTAAGAACACCTGCGCCACATAGAGCCTCTGAGACCAGAAGTAGATATTGGCGTTTGAGTCCCCACGCTTGCTGGTCCTCCCTCTGACAGTCCCTCGGTACCCAGGGTGCTCCCTGAAGCTTGGTGGAAGGCGGAAGCAGGCATGGACCAGGGTGGTAGGCTGTGGGTGGGGAGACAGCCAGAAGAGAGCCCCCCGCCTTCTCAGAAGAGTCCGTTGTTACCCCTCCAGTCTTGGCATCATCCCGTGCAAAGAGCAGACGGTGAGGGAGGAGGCCCCAACAGTGGAGGAGGCCAGTGTGAATTTCTATGGTGGAGGCAGGCGGGAGGGAGGGAGTTTCTGTAGGTCAGTGAGTGGACTTGGAGCTCCAGCTAGACACTTGGTTTATTAGATTGTTTGTTTGGGGCCACACCTGGTGATCCTCAGGGCTTACTCATGGCTCTGAGTCAGAAATTACTCCTGGCGGTGGTCAGGGGACTCTACAGGATGCCAGGCATCGAACCTGGGTCTGTCGCATGCAAGACCAGCTGTACTATCTCTCCCCGTACCCCCACCCCCCATTAGAACACCTGGCAGACACTTGACCTGCCTCTCTAACACCTCCAGATGAGATTTGGCCCTGGGAGGCCAAACAGGCACAGAAAATGACTGCCATGATGGACCAAGAAATGTCTCTTGTTAGAATAAATCAAGCGGGGCCCGGAGGACAGTTCCAGGGGCCGAGCACGTGCATCACGTTCAGGAGGCCCCATAGGATCCCCTCATGCGCCGCCAGGAATGACCCAGAGCACTGAGCGGGGTGTAGACTGTGAGCACCATGGGGTGTGACCCAGACACACCTCTCCCCAGATGAAAGTGCCAGGAGAGAAGAGGGTCCACATTTCCCGTCGGCCTTGGGGCTGATGGCTTCCGCTCCCTTGCAGCCCCTTAAGCCTCACAAGCTTTGCCCCTAGAGGTTCTCATTCCTAGCCCAGGTCAGTGCTACCCTGTAGTTTCGAGTTTGAGGAGATGGGCAGAGTATCTGAGTGGAGTGGGGGGGGAGGGATCCTGCACCCTGCCTCGCCCCCGCTGCTGAACCTGCCAGAGACAACGAAAGGAAGAGGAACTGCCTGATGCCTGGCTGGAATCTCAGAGAGGATCATTGAGAGGATCGTTTCCAAGAAGAAAGTTTTAAAAAGAAAACCCAAGTGCCGTGATGGGCATTCTGGCACTCCTCCATGGGAAACCTTACCACTGTTTTCAGTTCTTTGATATGAAATTTGGCTCTTTGGTCTCAGGGTTTGCTCCTAGCTCCGTGCTCAGGGATCCCTCTTGGTGGGCTTGGGGGACCATAAGGATTGTCCCGGATCAAACCCTGGTTGGTCGCATGCAAGGCAAAGCACATCATGAACTGTACTGTCTCTCCAGCCCAGATTTAGTCCTTTGAAAAGCAGAACTTCAGTTGCCTTCAGTAAGGTGCAGAGAGAGAGAGAGAGAGAGAGAGAGAACACTCAGTTGGCTAGAGCATGTCCTCTGCATACAAGAGGCCCATGTTCCATCCCCCCAGGACTCTCTCTCAAACCCCCCCCAAAATTTGCCACTGTTGGGTGTTCATTTTATCAGTGGTCTTTTTGGTCCATGTGACCCAAGATTGTTCTGGGCGCCTAGAACCTCAGCCACTCATCCTGCAGATTTAGTCTTTGTAATTTGGAGTTTGGCTTCAGGCTACAGAATTGCTAGTGGCCATGCCCTTCGATTTGTGGTTCTTGTGAATTTCATACTTTTTTATTTGGTGGCAGCGGGGAGCCAACTCTATTTGGAAAATGAGCACTGAGCTGAAATGAAAAGAGGTTGTGCTGATGACATGTGCTTTCTCGGGGTGTTTAGGAACCTGTTTTATTCACTGGAACGATGAGGAAAAATCTGGACCCCTTCAATGAGCATGCAGATGAGGAACTATGGAATGCCTTAAATGAGGTAATTTTTTTTTAAGTGTGATTCTCACCTTTGCCTCAGAATATGTATGCATAGACATTTGTAATTTTGAAATGACACTTTTCTTTTGGACATAGATGTGTAGACATTCATAGTGCAGCAGGTGATTAGGGCGGCTGATGGGTTAAGTGATTGGTTCCCATGCAGGAGAGCATTAACAACCTGGGTCCACTGGAAATGTGTCCGTGGCTGAGGAATATCATAATGCCCCCATGTTTTTAGATTCCTTTCTAAAATAGCCACAGACATGCCATCTGATTTGTCCTTAGCAGAGCACCAAGCAAGAAGTTCTATTTATGGATTCAAATTCCATTAGTGACCAAGTGACTAATTACCCTGCAGTGGGTACTAGTACTGCTTCATTCTTTGGAAAAATCCCTAAGTGGAAACAAGAATCCCTTCTCATCGTTAGGGATTCATCATCAATGACAAATGAGATCATACTTCATAAAATGCTTTGGAGTTTTATAGGCAAATGTTCAGAAAGGTAAATGATGTCAAAATGTGATAATTATTTATGGACAAACCTGATATTTTCATGCTGATGAGTACCAGAGTACCAGAGGTCACATTTTTTTCCCCCTGCAGACAATGTTTCTAGATGACTTTCTATTACTTGTGTCCTGTTGCTGACTCTACCAGGTCTTTGAATTTCCTTGTCCAAAGGTGCCCTTGTTTAGCCTCAGTTCTTTCTTATACGCCTGGTCCTTTTTCTACCCGCCAGCGGATTCTAAGCTGCTTGAGGGCAGAGAGTGAGTTTCACTTCTAAAACTTAAGATTTCAAATTCTTCATCGGACTTGGCTCCACCATTTGCTTGTACGTTTGTACTGAATAACTGCTCGCTCCCTTCCTTTCGGAGAAGTACGACTTCTTACACACACCTGCTTTCCAAGTTTAGCTCTGTGCCTTTAATCTATAGATGGGCTTTTGACTGTGAGCAAGAGAATTTGGAAATTCGACAGCTTCTACGCCAGTCATTCTGGTTTCCAAGGGCATGTCTGCGCTAAGCCTTCACACACCTCCTGTGCTTTTGAACAACTCTGGGGACTTTGTGTTCCTCCAGCGGCCTACTTCCTGTCCCTTTTCCCACTGGAGAACAGATGACCTCTGATTTCGCTTCGGTTCGTGATTCTTGATGCAGTGCATTTCCACAAAAGAAGAGGTGGGGAAACAGTGACCCCGCAGAGGGAAAGATAGGGTGAGCCGGAGTTCTGGGGTTCAGGGGGAGACTGAATGGTGAAATGGAGACACGCCTTTCCCCAAACAGGAATGACTAGTAAATGATTTTTGTGCTCCCTTCAGAGCTCGAGATTTCTCTTGCAGATCTGCAGAGAGTCCGGGCTTGGAGCACAGTGTTTGGTCAATGGGGGAAAGTGCTAATTAGGAGCAAGTGTTTATCCAGAACTGTCTTGTTCATAATTTACCCTGATTTCATAGGATCTTAACTCTGTTTCCTGAAATTAAAATGAAGTTGAGTCTCCTCTACGAATTCTGAAAATGGGGCTGGGAGAGAGAGAGAGGACAGGGGGTAGGGGGCTTCCTTTGTATATGGCCAACCCAGCTTCGATCCTTGGTACCCCACGTGGTCCCACCTGCCAGGAGTGATTGCTGAGCACAGAGCCAGAAGTAAGCCCTGAGCATTACCAGGTGTGGTCCCAGATCAAACAATTCTGAAACTGTTGGGACTTTACAGACAGTAAGTGAGACTTGGAGAGAGAGAGAGGGTACAGGTGCTTTGCATGCAGCAGACCACCTGTGTTCAAATCCTCAGCACCACATGTGGTTCCCAAACACCACCAGGAGTGACCCCTGAGCACAGAACCAAGAGCAGTCTCTGAGCACTGCCAGGAGTAGCTCCTAAAGCAAAATAAGAGCATAGACCAGGGATACAGCTCAGAGGCTGGACCACAAGCCTCCCATGGACGAGGCCCTGGGTTCAGTCCCTGACACTAAAAAAATTCTTATAAAAAAAAAAAAAAACAGTGGTGACAGCGCTTCCTGACCCTAGAGTTAGACTTGTGTGCACTCCCCAAAGCAAAGTGCACCTTGGACCTTATATGGAAGTGATATGAAGGGTTTCAGAGGAGGGGTGTAGGGGGAGGGGTGTAGGGTATTTGTTGGAGTGAGATGGCATCCCTCATAATTCTTTTCTTTCCTTGCTTCCTTCCTTCTTAACTTCCTTGCTTCCTTCCTTGTTGGTTTATGGGCCACGCCCAGTGATACTCAGGGCTTACACCTGACTCTTGAACTTGGGTCTGCCGTATGCAAGACAGAGAAATACCCTATCCTCGGTACTATTGCTCCAGCCCAGGCCCTTGAATTTCTTTATGACATTTGTTTTTCAATGAAGGATCAGGTCGACTAAGCATTAGGATACATCATTGTCTTTATAGTATGATTGCATTTTATTTGTTTATTTATTTATTTGCTTTTGGGGCTACACCTGGCGATGCACAGAGGTTCTCCTGGCGCACGCACTCAGGAATTACTCCTGACGGTGCTCGGGGGATCATATGGGATGCTGGGAATCGAACCCGGTTGGCTGCGTGCAAGTCGGATGCCCTACCTGCTATGCTATCGCTCCAGCCCTGCCGTCAGCTATTTTAAATCCTACACATATTCTGAACTTGTTGGTTTGTCTGGGCCACACCAGGCTATGCTCAGGGTTCACTCTGGCTTTGCATTCAGGAATTGGCAACTGGCAGTGCTGAGAGACCATATGGGATGCTAGAGATCGAACCCGGGTCGGGCGTGTGCAAAACAAAAGCCCTACCCTCTATATTGGCTGGAGCAATAGCACAGCTATAGGGCGTTTGCCTTGCACGCAAACAGCGTGGCCGACACGAGTTGGATTCCTCCGCCCCTCTCGGAGAGCCCGGCAAGCTACCGAGAGTATCTCGCCCGCATGGCAGAGCCTGGCAAGCTCCCCGTGATGTATTCAATATGCCAAACACAGTAACAACAAAGTCTCCAATGGAAATGTTACTGGGCCCACTCAAGCAAATCGATGAACAATGGGAGGACCGTGGACCGTGACCCTCTATATTACGGCTCCAGCGCTCTTTTATTTTTTGAAGTGCTGCTAGTTTTCACTTCCCCTTTTGCTGTGGAGGGGAAAGGAAGTTTGACATTCAGAAGGGAGATATTGCCATGGCCATTGTCAGTGAAGGCAAGGGTTCGGGCTGATGTGGGAGACCCCTAAGATGCTTTCTCTTCACCACTTCGACTGAGGTCTGATGTCCAAACCAGAGCCCCCACCTATTGGATGTGTGAGTAAAGGTATAGTTGTCCAACATTAATCTAGGTTGAGAACATCTCAATCAGCCCAGAACATTCCTTCGTGACTATAAGGGACCCAGTAGCCATGCTCTGCCTCTTGGCTGTCAGCTCCTGACATGTATCTTTGAAGAAGGAATATTTGACTTCCTGTTTTTGTTTTTTGAGCCACCCCTAGCAGTGCTCAGGGAGCCTTTTCTAGGGCTTGTTGTTCAGGGACCCTATGGTGCTGGGGATTGGACCCTGTTCTCCTGCATGTAAAGCTTGGGCTCTTGCCCTTTAACTTATCAACTTCTGGGCCCTGCTTTCATTTTATTGAAGTCATAGGAGAGAGGATTATAAAAGGAGAGAGGGTTCCAGTGTGTGTTTGTACATCCTGACATTAGTTCCCATTAAAGGTCTACAAGTTCTCCCTTCCTCATACAGCTGTGCCCCACCCCCGCCCACCCCCTCCTGCCACTATATTCAGCCCCTCTCCCCCTTTTTTTCTGGTTTTAGAGTTTGGAACTTTCATCTTGCTTTAACTTCATCCACCCATTTCTTTGGTTTTTCCTTTTACCATCAGTGAAATCCCATGGTTGGGCTCGTTTCGGCAGCACGTATATACTAAAATGAAATTCCATGGTGCTTATCTCTCTCTGTCTAATCTGTTTGACTAGTGTCCTTTAAATTCATCCACGGATTTCATCTTTCCTCCCTGAGTCGTTTCGGTGTCCGTGGGCCTTATCTTCTCCATCCAACAGCCAAAGCCCTTCCTTGGTTGCTCTGCAGTTGTTTCTAGTTCTTGTCTAGATAATAAGTAGTAAACATGGGCGGTTATTACAAGTCTCTTAAAATTTCTTAGTGTTGTATGTTAGGGGGTAGGGGGCAAATACCCAGAAGTGGGTATCAGGATCGTGTGGGTTCAGCCTTTTGCAACTGCCATCTTTCTTTACTTGATGGCGGCACCCCTTTTGGTACTCAGCCTGCCCTGCTGCATCCAAAGCTCTTCCCTCCACACACATCTTCTTCAGCATCCCTGCTCACTCAGACAATAGAATAGCCTAGAAAGAATGTTTCCAGTCTGCTGTGTTTCCCCTTGAGCGATGTTATGTAGCACTGTGGTACCTGTTTCTTCACAAGACGAGCCTGACCATGAGCAACAACTTTGCCTCCTGATGACAAAAATGAGTGTTTGGACTGTGTGGAGTTTGGTACACAGTTCCATTTGGTACAGTGTTTCTATCCTGGGCTGCCTCTGCCCTCTTTCTCCGTCAGCTTCATGAGTTGACTGTCCTCAGCCCCTGGCCATGCAGGTTACATTTCCTCAGACTTCCCCAAGGACTTCAGACTCAATGTCCGGAGACTCGTCTCCTCCCCTAGTGGTTTGTTGAGGAAAATGTCTTCTTTCTCGCTCCACAGGTGCAACTCAAAGAAGCCATCGAAGATCTTCCTGGCAAAATGGACACTGAATTAGCAGAATCGGGATCGAACTTTAGTGTGGGACAGAGACAGTTGGTGTGCCTTGCCAGGGCTATTCTCAGGAAAAATCGAATATTGATTATTGACGAAGCAACAGCAAATGTGGATCCAAGGTACAGAGTGCAGGCCCATGGCTCTGGAATCTGAGTTGAACGGGGAAAGTGTGTCATGCTTCCATTAACTCTGGAACACGGGAAGCAGCCCAAACCATTGATTTAGATATTTATGATGCTCTCGGGCATTTGAAGAGAGCTGAATTCCTTGAATGGCTCCTGATTATTTCTTAGTCAGTTTGAAAAGGGGATATTTTCCATTGTTTTTAGTGAAATTTCCAAGTACACTTGGTGTTTGGTTTGGGTGTTGTTTTGGTTTTGGTTTTTTTTGTTGTTGTTGTTTGGGTGTTTGTTTTGTTTATTTTTGCTTTTGGGGTAACACCGAGTGATGCTCAGGGGTTACTCCTGGCTCTGTACTCAGGAATTACTCCTGGCGGTGCTAGGGGACCATATGGGATGCTGGGGATCGAACCCAGGTTGGTCGGCCTCGTGTAAGGCAAACGCCCTACCCGCCATCCTATCTCTCCGGCCCCTGTTTGTTTGTTTGTTTTTAAGGGTGTTTGCAACAGGGAGATCATCTTTATTGCTTTATTAATTGATACAGAGGAAACCTAGCAAGGTGTCCTCTCCTGGTCTGTATGTTCGCTGACTTTTCTGTATGACGTAACACTCCAGCTTAGACTTTTTTCTCTCTTCCTCTCCTGTCCTTCAAGCATGAATCTGAGAGTCCCGTGAGGTGATCACATGCTGCCATCTGACCTGTATTTGCTGGCTGCCCACAGTTCGAGCCCTGCAGTATTCCTCGCTGCTGTGTCTTTTGCTCTCTTTCCTGACCCATAACCTGCGCGCCTGCCTTTCTCAGTGCTCTGCCTCCTCCAGCGACTCCTCTTTTGCCTCCATCTCTGGCCGCTCTGTGCCTTTGGCAGTGCTCCTGCACTTACCACTGGCCCCTGGATGCTTCTCCTCTAGCTAGTGTCCTGGCCAACTGATGACTTCAGAGCCACAGAACCACTTTAAATAGCCACTATATATAGATATATAGATATAGATATAGATATAAATATAGATATAGATATATTTAGTCCACAGAGCATGTGTTCAAATGCTGGGTTTCCAAAAACATGATTGAAAATACTTTTACAGTCCTTTCCCTGAAGTCTCATGTCAGCCTTCACTGAGCTATACTCAACCTTTTTGATTCCAGAACGGATGAGTTAATCCAGAAGAAAATCCGCGAGAAATTCGCCCAGTGCACCGTGCTGACCATTGCCCATAGACTGAACACTATCATCGACAGCGATAAGATAATGGTGAGGACTACCCCCACCCCACCCCCAATCCAGGGGCTGGATGGTTCTGTCTCGGTGTCATTTGGGTCCCTGTCTGATCTGATCTCTGCCCTAAAGTGTTCTCTTATGGATGTCATCATCCTGGCCTTGGGTTTTCTTTCGTCTTACAACGTTGAGGATGGCAATTAGGCATTTACTCCCACTTAGAAATTTCCTGGGGAGGGGGGCAGAGCAATAGCACAGCGGGTAAGGCATTTGCCTTGCACACGGCTGACCTGGGTTCAATTCCCAGCATCCTGTATGATCCCCACATGAGCCAGGAGTAACTCCAGGTGTGACCCAAAAAGCAAAAATAAAAAAAGAAAAGAAAAGAAAAGAAATTCCCTGTCCCCATCCAGAGCAGTGGACGATCAGTTCAGGCTAATCACAGGAAGGATGGTGCAGCCAGGTTGCTCCTCCGGCCTCTCCTGACTCTCATTCACGAGCATCTCACCCACAGATGCCAGCACCTTGTTCCCAAGTGTCCCCTTCACCTCCCCCACCCTCCCAGCTTCCTGCTGTCTCGGGTCCTGTCTTGAGTGGTTGCCTCTGCTGACCAGGGTCCCTAGGGAAACTTCGAGAATCTCCTTTTCCTCCCCCTCTTGCTTAGAGTTTCTGGTGATGCTTCATCTGCTGGGTGCAATGCAGTGGACAGCGGTCAGCCTATTCCTTCCCTTCTGAGGCTTGTCCCACTCTGTTGCCCCCCAATTCCCTTCTCGCCCAGACCACACCCAGGGGCTTCCGGTTCTCCCCAGGTAGAGCCCTCACCTCTCCCCCCACCAGGAAGGTGTGGTGTGTGCCGAGGACTCCGTTTCCCTGTGGACCAACAGCCCTTGCACACCCCACTCCAGAGTTGGGAGACTGTCCACGGCGGTCATTGGCAATGGCCCCTTCACGAGGAGATGGAGACCCTCCCAGGGCTCATATCAGGGTCCACGCTGGGGTCTGGAGCATTTCCTGAATTGGGGAGGGGGTGAGAAGATCAGATTTCACAATCCTGAGAGACATGACTTACCTCGCCCTCTTGCTTAGTTTTTCTGTCGATGCTTCATCTGCTAGATGCAGTGCACTGGACAACAGTCAGCCTGCTCCCGGCCTGCACCATCCTTCCTGTGATTAGCCCGAACCAATCGTCCACAGCAATCGACGGAAATGGAATTTTTTTTTTGGGGGGGGGGGCTCACACTGGCAATAATGCTCAGGGGTTACTCCTGGCGCGTGTGGGGAGGAGGTAGGGCGGAAGGCAGGGGTTGCCCTCTCTGCTCGTGGACCCAGCGTCCAGCCGTTCCTTCTCTTCTACCTCTGGAGAAGAACGTCTGCTTGCCCGCTTGGCTTTTCAGTTTGCCCTGACGTCACACCAGTAATGCAGTAATGTTCTTTCTCCAACCCCCGATGGGTGAAACAATTTTGAGAGGGGGTGAAGGTTGGGAGTCACTTTAGAAATTACCTGTTCCGTTTCCCGAAAGCCAGGGTTTGATCTGTTATCCCCAAAGCACTAAGGCTATGAAGACAAGTCAATCAGCTCCGAAGCCTCCCGCTCCCAGGGGCGCGGGCGGCCAGCCCGGGAGTGGCTGGGGAAGGGCGGGAGGCTAATGAAGGGCATAACCAACCCCGCTGTCATCATAAAGTCGTGTAATTGCCGGCGCTTAAGGTGTCATAATTACATTTTGTTGCACTGGTGAATACTTCTGCACAAAGACGGATGGATATGGTTTTGTTTACTGTAAGTAAATCAAACAAAAGCCTTGTTGGGAAACAACTGTGACCTAATTAATAGCTTTGTTTATGTGTTGGCTCTCCAAAGGGATTTGCCCAGTTTTGGTTCATTAAGCGCCATTAATGTGCTCAGCTTAGACGTTCTGTCTTATAAAGACGTTCACTCCATTTTAACTGTATTAAACATGATGGAGTCATCACGACAGCTAATTTAATCGTCTCCATTTGCTCAGCTGACACAAAACAGTGGAGCAAGACAGACAAATTAGAAATCCTCTTTCTCCTAATACTCGCCACTATCTCTGCGCCAACAACAGATTCCTGCCTGTCAACTTCTTTTTTTTTCCCCCCTTTAGTTTTAGAAGTAGCTACTCACTCAGGACCTGTTTTTGCAGCCCATCCTGTGGCTCTTGTCCTCCACTCCCCACTTGCCCTAGTCTCAGTAGCACCCTTGGGTGCCAGCCCCAAAAGCAGGAGCAGAAACAGCCTAGGGAACTTGAGCGCGATATTATCCGCACAGTGTGTCTTGCTGGCCCGCGAGAACTCCCAGGGACCGAATCAACAGAACCATCCCCTGGGCTAGATCCAGCCTGTGTGGGTTATTGTCGTCTCTGGAGGATGCGTCCTCCTTCCCTTCCTCCCTCCTTTCTGAGACCTCCAAACTCAACACACCAGTAACATCTGCCTAGAAGAGTGTAAAAACCCTTCCGAGGGGCTGGAGCCATAGTACAGCAGGTAGGGCATTTGTCTTGCACAGCATCCCAAGCACCGCCAGGAGTAATTCCTGAGGCAGAGCCAGGAGTAACCCCTGAGCATCGCTGGGTGTGACCCAAAAAGCAGAAAAACAAAACAACAACAACAAAAAAACATTCCGAGTGCTTGGGGAGGTTGAGTTGGACGCTGTGTCTCCCCATTCCCAGAATTGGAATAAGGCCCCATCCCTGGCGGTTCCTGGGGGGGTTTCAGGAAAAGCTGCCTGCAGATATAGCCATGGAGTCATGTCCAATTTTCAGAAGGAGAAAGGACTGGTGGGCAGGGAGGAGGCGCAGTCTAGGGGAGCACAGCCTTTTGAAGGGGAGCACGGAACGGCCAGAAGAATAGTATGGTGGAGAGAGCGTTTGCTTTCCACACAACTGACCTGGGTTTGGTCACTTGCATTCCACAGGGTGCGCCAAGCACCCACAGGAGTAATTTTTGAGTGCAGTCAGAAATAACCCCTGAACATTGCTGGGTGTGACCCAAAAAATGCCAAAAATAAGGGGGTAGGGCTGGAGTGATAGCACAGAGGATAGGGCGTTTGCCTAGCATGTGACTGACCCGGGTTCGATTCCCAGCATCCCATATAGTCCCCTGAGCACCACCAGCAGTAATTCCTGAGTGCGTGAGCCAGGAGTGACCCCTGTGCATCGCTGGGTGTGTCCCCAAAAGCAATAAATAAATAAGGGGCTGGGGAGCACGTGGGGAGCAGGAGTTTTAGGGGGGAGTGGCTGGGTGGGCGTGTGAGCTCCAACCTTCTTCCTGGAAAACTCTGGAAAGACCTGGAATGATCTGGGCCCCAGTTCTGGCCACGGAGAAAATCACAGACCCACCTCCCCAGGGGAGGCAACCCGCCTGCGAGGTTGGATGACTGTCCCCAGGTGCCTCCAGCACTGGCGTGGTGAGCAGCTGCCCAGGGCAGCCTGGAACCCGGGGCCTCCTGTCCCCACCTGGCCTGTCCCTTGCTCTCATTGCTGGCGTGTTGAAAGCTATTCCCGTCATCGCGCTGCCTTCCACCCCGTCCTGTCCCTCCCCTGCAGCCGTGGGCGTCCCGCCAAGCAAAATGGATCAAGCCATGTCGCAAGGGGCCCGTTTTGTTTCTCTATCTAGGACGGGTGCCCGGAATCCCTGCAGATACGCAGGCCCCATCGCCGCCTCTTCGGCACGGGACTTATGTAACTGGTAACTGACTGGCTCAGCCAGCATGGGGCCTTTTGCCTCCACCTCTCAGCCAGCGCCTCGCCGTCGTTGGCCGTTCCTGGACAGACTCTGGCGCCCAGAAACTTTGCTGACATGCAGACCCGCCCGCAAGGGGTTTAGTGTCTCATTTCACTTGCAAGAGAAGGGAACTGGGCAGCTGATTCCCGGAGACGTCTTTAAATAGAAGGCTCGGGACCCGGAGCCATAGTACGGCAGGTGGGGCTCTTGCTTTGCCCACAGCTGACCCAGGTTCAACCCCCAGCAGCCCATATGGTCCTCCAAGCCCTCCAGGAATGATTCCTGAATGCTGAGCCAGGAGTAAACCTTGAGCATCACCGATGTGCCCCCCCACTGCCCCCACCTCCCAAAAAAAAAGCTAAATACTTATATAGAAAGGCTGTCCCAATAGCTGTCTGCAGTGAATTCTACCTGTTTTCTGTACAGAAAATTCCCAGTGGTTTTATCATGGCTTGTTCTGGAAGCTCTGATTCTGCTCAGACCAGTGCTGAAAGGCTGAGTGGGGTGAAAAGACCTCACCGGATGCTTTTCCATCTGTGTCCCTTCTCTGCTCTCATGGCCGGACTGTCTGCCGATGCCTCCCAACACACCTCCCCCCAGCTTGTCCCTTCTCCGCTTCCTCTTCTCCAATACTTAATAGAAATGCATTTTAAGCCTCAATAGTCATTCGTGGGCCAGAGCGACAGGACAGCGTGGGAGAGTGCTTGCCTTGCACGCAGCTGACCCGAGTTCAGTTCCCTGTGTTCCATATGGTCCCCCCCCACCCCACCAATCAGCACCAGGAGTCATTCCTGAGGGCAGAGCCAGGAGTAACCCCTGAGCATCACCAGGTGTGACCCAAAAAGAAAAAAAATCATTTGCTCTCTCTCGTCTGCCACTTGCCCATCATTGTCCATCTGAGGCACTTGCCCTCCCTTCTACATTGGGGTCCCTGATCCTGTTCCCCGACTCCCACTGTAGCTGCATCCCAGTGCCCGCCAGACTCTCCCCCGAGGTTTCACCTGATGATCACGGTCGCCCAGCCATGCTCTGGCAACAGTTTCCTTCCTGTCTAACAGGTAGCATGGATGACAGATGCTGCTTTTCATGGCCAACACCAGGGTCTGGAAAGAAAAAAATATATAGTCCAGCCACTCCCATTTCTAAGCATCTGAGCCTCTACACTCTTCAAGGGATTCTTCCTGAAGTTCTTCCTGAAATCCGTCTCTTCTCTTGCTAAACTCCTTGATGTGCTTTTTTCTCTTGCTAGACACTCAGGTATTTATTTCCGCCCTCTCTTCTCCCAGTATAAGATGCCCTATAGCCAAGACAGGGCCCATTGTGTTCCTTTTCTACACAACATCAGGCCTCACATTTAGAGGAATTCACATTTAGTTTGCAGTGACCACTTGCTGAATAGATCCAAGAATTAGTGGAAGTTTACCTCCAATGATAAGTTTCCTTCTGCCCTGACTCCTCCATCGCAAGAATCCTGTTTTGGTAATTGATACTGAGGGAGGAGGGAGGGGGAGAAAGAATGGAGGGTGGGTGGATGGATAGAAAGGAGTGTGGGGTGGCTGGAGAAAAGAAGCGTGAAATGATGAATGGGTGGGTGGACTGACAGATGGAAGAATGGAAGGAAGGAAGATAGGTACCACATCCACCTTGAGAATTAACCGGTATAATTGTGAAGCAGGCTGGAGCAATAGCACAGCTGGTAGGGTGTTTGCCTTGCATGTGGCCTACTGGAGTTCAGTTCCTCTGCTCCTCTCGGAGAGCCTGGCAAGCTACGACAAAGCCTGGCAAGCTCCCCATGACATATTCAATATGCCAAAATGAGTAACAAGTCTCACAATTTGTTGTGAGATGTTACTGGTGCCTGCTCGAGCAAATCGATGAACAACGGGAGGACAGTGCTACAATGCAATTGTGAAGCATGGGACACCGTAAGTTCTCAGTGCACTACTTTCTAATTTTCTTTTTCCAATTCAAAAATCTACCACTTTTTGTTTATTTGGGACCCAGGAATTACTTCTCACTCTGTGCTCAGGGATCATACCTGGGTCAGCCGCATACAAGATGAGTACCCTACCTGCTACACTATTGCTCCAGCCAGAAATCTATTAATTTAGTTAAGGGATTTTATAGATGATCAGGAGGCCATGTACTTAGTGACACATTGACATACAACCCATCTCTTAAACCTCCTGAATTCATTGAAGATTCTGTGCTTTAATGCAGGGCATGCCACAAGTATAATTAAAGTGGTGTGTTTATTTCACTTTCTTAAAGTGTTCTTACATAGAAATTAAAGTTGGAATTAGAACTAATGGAAACTTTCCTTCACAAAGTATGATGCGCCGTCATTAACTTGCAGGAACTTTCAGGGCTCAAAGTATTTTTTTTTCTTTTTGGGTCATACCCAGTGATGCACAGGGGTTACTCCTGGCTCTGCACTCAGGAATTGCTCCTGGTGATGCTCAGGGAACCATATGGGATGCTGGGAATCGAACCCGGGCCGGCCGTGTGCAAGGCAAATGCCCTACCCGCTGTGCTATCGATCCAGCCCCTCAGAGTGTTTTTGACCAAAATGATCTTTCTGAAATTTATGCTGCTAATTTTGTTACTTTTTTAGGGCATTCAGGTGTTGGTGGTGATGGTTTCCAGCTACCCACCCCTACTCACGCCCCCACATTCAGCCTTTCTAGATATTGGTCAATTCTGAAAACTACTTTCCTCGGTGGCATTCATAGACTTTCAGACAATATAAGAAAAAGTGGGAAAAAAATGTACTCATCGCTCATTTGAATAAAATCAAAAGTTGGATAAGAATAAAAGTTTAGCAATACTTCCCATTAAATATACTCGAAACTTTAGAGCCGAAGAACTCGCCTTCCACCGACTCTGAAGTGACTTTTAAAAGTCTCCTTGTTGCTGATGCAGAGTATAAAGTTGTTCATTGTATGAAGTAATTTGATTCACTTATTTACTCTAGTCTTTGGTGGGTGTGAGACCTATATTTTAAAATTGCATTTCCCTCCCTCTTTCTTCAACGTCAGGAGGATTGGTTATAGTCTATAATGCTATGCTTAAGTAAAATTACACATTCGGGGCATCTAAATTGGCGTGCCAAATTATAGGACATTTTAATTATTGTGTCGATGTGACAGATTCAATTATTCTTGAACTCTTTTGAGAAAACTGCCCTTAGCAGCGATTCACCATAGTAAACAAAAGATTAACAGGAAAATGCCCTTTATAAGACTTAATAAATGTTTCCCCAACTAAATATACCACGGCTTGGCATTAACAGCACTCCCCAGATGTCGAAAAACACGGTTGTGCTTCGCTCCAGCCTATTCTCTTACGAGGAATTTATTCTAAATAGGACCCAAGCAACCAAAGGACTTAGGGTACCACCACCAGAAGCAGAACGCATCTCCCTCACCCCTCATTTGAACTGATTATCTCAGCTACGGAGTAGAAATGCAGAATTCAGAGCTCTCTCCTCTCCCTGTCAGTTGCCTCTGGACATATCAGTGAGCGATGAAGTGGCTAAAAAGCTCCACCGTCGAAGAAAGAGAAAACGGCAAAGATAATCGTGAGAACTGACACTCACCAGTCTCCACGGTTCCTCCTGAGCTGCCCCCCTGTGCAGCGCGGCCCTACCATCACTGGAACTTGGAGCTCACTTTCTTTCTTGCTTCTTTAGTCTTATCCAGAGAGAAAATTGGATTTCTAGTGATTTCCTCGGGGCCGAACAATTAATGCTTCTTGGAACTGCCTGAGTACTGGCTGCTATTCCGGCCAGCCTTTCCCACTGAAGAACCAAGCACCAGAACCAGCTGTGGGCAACCCCTGGCCCTCCCCACTAGTGTTTTCTCCCTTCTTGCCAGGCCACAGGTGCCAGCAAAGAAGTCAAAAAAGCACTGACTTCTTTTCCACATGTGCTCGGGCCTCTCTGCCCCCAGCTGAGTGAGAACCACACTGCCTGGCCCCAGCCGCCGGATTTGTGTGACATCACTGCCCTTTCTTTACATGCATTGAGTATGTCTTCCATCAACAAATTCCCTCCACTCCAAATGTCTGTCTCCATAAGCCCTCGAAGCCCAGGCCACGAGCACAAGAGCCCAAACCGACGAAAACAACCCCAGATGCCCTTGGCAGGGTACGGAATGCCACAGGACTGCTGAGTGTCCGTAATAATAGCCTAAAACTTTCATTTTCTCCCTTTCCTATAACATTATAAATAATAAAAGGTCGGGATGGGCCTTTGTCTGCCTCGTCAAACGGGGTAATCAAACCATTTAAACACCAGCCAGGCAAAATAGATGCTACCACCCAAATAGAGCCCTTCTATTCTCCCTCTCCCGCCCCTTTCCGAAATATTGTCTGAGTTATAATATGTTGCTGCAAAACATTGTGTGCTAATGGCCTTCTTTCTGCTGATTAACAGGTTTTGGATTCAGGCAGGCTGAAAGAATATGATGAGCCATATATTTTGCTGCAAAATAAAGAGAGCCTATTTTCCAAGATGGTGCAACAGCTGGGCAAGGCCGAGGCTGCTGCCCTCATGGAAACAGCAAAACAGGTGAGCTCGCCACGCCGGGTGGTAATTAGCATCCGTCTCCGCCGGCCTCGCGCGCGCGCTCCGGCTCCAGGGCTGGGTAACGAGCACTCTGTGCCCTTCTCAATTATAAGCCTTTGGAGACGCAGTTTCAGGACGGGGCCTTAACAACACCCATCCCGGGTTGAAGTCAGGTCTGCTGAGGGTGCACGCACGTGTGCAAGCAGGTGCACCCCCCTGGGGAGAGCCAGGGGAATCCCCGATCCAGGGCCCTGGTGATCCAGAAGACTCCACTTTGGGAGACCCCCATTTTGTTTCACGCAGCTGGGTGCTCAATGCCCTTGAGAAGCCCTCGCTGTCAGGGTGCCAGAGGCAGAGACGGTCAACAGGCACTCTTGTTCAGAGCGACTCCTATAGATAGATCTAGCAGGCAAGTGTGTAGGGGGGCTCGCTTGGAGGGGGGTCTTGTTTCCTAATTGTAGCACTGTAGCTCTGTCCTCCCATTGTTCATCAGTTTGCTCAAGCGGGCACCAGTAACCGTCTCCATCGTGAGACTTGTTGTTACTGTTTTTGGCATATCGAATCTGCCACAGGGAGCTTGCCGGGCTCTGCAGTGTGGACAGGATACTCTCAGTAGCTTGCCGGGCTCTCCAAGAGGGGCAGAGGGATGGAACCCGGGTCAGCCACGTGCAAAGCAAACGCCCTACCCGCTGTGCTATTGTTCCAGCCCTTGCCTTAGGATTTCCTAATTGGATAAGAAAAATAGAGAGAGCCTGGGGCTTATGGAACTTGCCTTGCGTGTGGCCAACTCAGGTTAGAAACCCCAGCAACCAGTATGTCCCCCTGAGCAGAGCCAGGAGTCAGCCTGAGTACCACCAGGTGTGGCAAATGAATAGGCACACTGGATGTTCTCACTGCGATGTGTGTTTCCTTCCTACTTGAATGCTGCATGCCCCAGATTGTCACTGTAAAGTGGGATAAAATTGCTTGTGCCTTACTCAGCCTATCAACTGAACTGTGGGTGCAGAATCCTTGTCCCCATAATCTGTGGTCCTTGTGTATGGAAGATTGGCCTGAAACAGAGCCCAGGTCCCTTCCATCACCGCGTCCTCCCAGTTCTCCTGAGAAGTGAAGAGTGCTCCCCTGCCATGTTCATAGACCTGCCTGCAGCCCGGCCTCCATCCATCCCTCAGACTCTGCTATTTACTTATTTATTTTTTAACATGGCAACGAATTCTGTATTATTTTCAGACTCTGCATTTGGTCGGAGAGTCTTTACAGGGGCTGATCTTTGCGTTAGACACTTGCTTGTCCTCATGGTGTAAACCTGAAAGTGGGGAAGAACACAGTGCTCAGTGGGTTTAGGTGTTCGTTGAGGGGTTGGATTAGGCAGCCATGCTCTGTGCTCCCACTGAGGGTCTCTGAGCTGTGCCTGTTTAAGCAGACACAGGAAGGGAGCTGCCAGGAGCAGCCTGTGTAGATCTTTGCCATCTGAGTTCCAGCCCAGCTCCTGAGACTGAATCCCACCTCCCCTGCTTTTTTCTAAAGACAGACAACACTCCCTACCTGTGGGTGCCCCCAGTACCACATGGTTCCCTGAGCGCTATTGGGAGTGACCCCCCCCAAGCACAGAGCCAGGGGTGACCCCTTACCACCACCGGGTGTAGCCCCCAAATGAAATGTCGCAAAGAATTCTTCGGCATGGAGCAGCCACCGTACTATGTTAGGTTACTGGTGTTTAGCTCTCGGCTTCTCTGCTGTGTTCATGGCGTTGGCTCCTGTGGCCTTGTGGTCAAAGCAGTGTTGTCTGGACTGTGTTTGCTTGTACACACACTATTGTGTATTTGTTGAGTCCCTATTCCAAGGTCCTTTTTGTAAATGATCTTAGGGCATGAACTGCTGAGGAAAGCAATGGTTTACTAGCTCAGTCTCCTTTTTTTGTTGTTGTTGTTTTATTTTGCCACACCCGGTGATCACGATCACAACCATCCTGTTGTTCGTCGATTACCTCGAGCAGGCCCCAGTAACGTCTCCTTCATCATAGCCCTGAGATTTTTTTTTTAAAGTGCCATATTCAAGGCTCTTTAAGGTTTAGGAGAATGAGACCCATCGTTGTTACTGGTATTTGGCATATTGGGTACACCACGGGGAGTTTGCCAGACTCTGCCGTGTGGGCAGGTTACATTCGGTAGCCTGGCAGTTTGTCCAAAGTAGGAATGAGATAATAAGATGTCGCACGGCCAGCCGCAAATGCGGTCGCGTGCTTCCAGGAGCTGGGTTTTATAGTCTCTGGGTCTTGGCCGTTGATAGGATTACACGGCGCCAGGGGGCCAGTTGGTGGGTGTGACCCCTGCCTACTGGAATATGGAGGATCTGGGTGGAGGATGCTCGGCCCCGATCCAAGGCTTGGAGATCTCAGCCCCGGGACCCGCATGCCTATGTTCCTCTGCCGGTACCTTCATGCGTGTGGAGAGTGGTCTCAGCATGTTGGTGGCTGGTTCTGGAGGTCTTTGGCTGCTGGAGCCCTGGTCGGGGCGAGGAGAGAAACTCAACCTGCTCCCCTCCAAGGGGCCCCAGTGAGGACAGCCAAGCACAGGGGCAGGAGACTCTGCGCTGTTCTCTTCCAGGAGCTGGGTTTTATAGTCTCTGGGTCTTGGCCATTGATTGGATTACACAGCGCCAGGGGGCCAGTTGGTGGGTGTGACCCCTGTTTATTTCTGATTGTAAACCATTACAAGGTAGCTCCCCTCTTCCTCTTCTATCACCAAGATTCAGTTAAAATGATCTCACTTCTGATTTCCACTTTCTAACCTTCCAAAATACTTGCATCTCTTGTCTTGGATATGCTGCCTTTTGGGAGGAGGCAGTGAGTGGGATTGGGTCACACCCGGTGGTACTTGAGACTTACTCTTGGCTCTTCACCCGGCTCATCCGGGCAGAGCTTGATGGCCCGTAGGTGTTCTCCTGGACTCAAATCAGGTGGGCCATGGACAAGGCAAGCGCCCTACCCACTGTCCTATGGCTCCTGCCCCCAGAATTTGCTTCTTTTAAAGAGTCTGTTGGGGGCTGGAGTGATAGCGAGTAGGGCATTTGCCATGCACGCTGCCGACCTGGATTTGATCCTGGGCATCCCATATGGTCCCCCGAGCACCTCCAGGAGTAATTCCTGAGTGCAGAGACAGGAGTAACCGTTGAGCATCACTGGATGTGATCCAGAAAGCAAAAAATAAAAATAGAGTCTCTTTGCAGTGTATTGCTTCCCAAGCTTTGGACTTTTCATTCGTAGGACTGTACAGTCACTTTTAGCTCCTTAGGACCAGTGTGGGTTTTAAGAAATGAAACAGGCATGACCAGGGGTGTGGTTGAGGTGGTCAAGCATGTGTGAGGACCTGAACTTGATCCGCAGCACCATGTGGCCCCCAAACCCAGTGCATGACTCCCCAAAGCTCACAGCAGCAAACAGGAAGTAAACTAGAAAAGAAATGGAATAGAAGAAAGTCAACAGTGTACCTTTAATAGTCATTATCAGTATTCCATGAGTCTCTTTTAATGTAGTGAAATGCAAGATAATGGATCTGTACTGAGTCTCGATGTGAAATGTAGTTTTTACTGTAGGCAGAAGTAAAAAAGTACAGTTGTACGCCAGGGAGATGGCCCAGAGGTTAAGGCACTTGCCTTACCACGTGTTCAACCCCAGTTTGATCCCTGGCACCTCATCTGGTTCCCTGAGCACCTCCAGGAGTGAGTGCTGGGCACGGATGGGTGTGGCCCAAAACCAAACCCCCCAAAATCGAGTTGTACGGCATTGCACTACCCAAGGGAGGGTTCATGGGTGCTGGGGTCCCTGGCACAGCCTGTGTGTGAAATATTTTGGTCCACGTCTAATTTTGGACTTGATGCTGCCGAAATGGATTTCACTGTCTCTCGCCTCATATGTTATCCTTGCTTTGAAGTCTGTTAGAATTGTCCGTTCCTCTGGAGAAGTCTGAGGCAGTGGTGGTGAGAACCCCGTCTTTCCTGGATGCCCAAAGGTGTCTCCTTCATTTTGAAGATCATTCCCGTTTCCTAGAATGCCTTCGGTCTCTAGCTATCAGACTTTTACTTCGAGAAGTTCTTTGAATTATAGTTTTTTTTCCTTCATAATTTTATTTTTCTTCTTATATTTATTTATTGAATCACTGTGGGAAAAGTTACTAAGCTTTCAGGTTTAAATCTCGGTCATACAATGATCAAACACCTCTCTCTTTATCAGAACTCATTTTTCACCACCAAGAACCCCAATATACCCCCCTCCCACCCCTCCCAATGCCTGTGAGGCAGATGATTTCCACATAACTCTTCTCTCCATTGGTTACATTCATTATTTCGACAAAAGATGAACCATTATTGTTTAGATTATAGTTGTGAAAAAAAAATTTTAATTGGACTGGGCTTATCCTCTTTTCGAGTATCTACTAAATATCTTCATTGTCTGTTTTAAAAAGCTATTTCTCCTCATCTCTTCTAGTTCTCAATTAATTTCTGGCTAGTGCGCTAGTTTGGAGCGGTAATTTTTTCACCTATTCTGTCATTAGGTTTTTATTCCTGCCCTGCTTCCCTGTGTGCTGGTGGCCGGTGGGCGCCTGTGCACATCTGCATTTGCTTGCCCGTCTCTCGCTGTGAAGCCTGTTGTGGCTTAAGGCACTAGCCTTGCACATGGTCAACCCCGGTTTGACCCCTGGCACTTCATATGGTCCCCAAACTGTGGTGCTCACTGAGGTTTGCACTCCCTGAAATGTGCTCACGACTAACCAGGGGTGTTACTCAGGGTGCTGAGTTGCAGTCATGATCCCGGCTGGGGAATCTCTGCAGTGCTCACAGGCACTGGCCAAGAATCGCACTTCCTAGCCATGGTCCTCACACATCTCTCCAGCTGAGGTGCTTGTTGGGGCTCACACTGCTTTTTGTGGTGCTAGCACACACCTGGCTGGAAGTCGCACGTGGCCCCTGGAGTCCCAGAAGACAACAGTTTCCACCGGCACCAC